CCATGAGACATGATTTAAAATAATAAATGAGATTTTTATGTTTTGTACTCCATTAATACTCAGTTCGGAGCAATCAAAGAGATCTTTCTAAGTTACTAACAAAAGACTTCTCCTTTTGACATTTCTTCGAAGCAATAAGAGAGATCTCTCGCTTTTTTACTCCATTATAACTCATTTGGGAGCAAAAAGCGATGTCTCCTAAAGTGATACATCCAGGAGTATTACCTTTACTTTATATGGGAGCAATACACACTTCAATGTTAAGAAAGTTTTGTGATTTTGAATAATTTATCAAATAATAACAAACAAAATAGAGGGTACTCATATATACGCGCAAGTTTCATATTTGGGCAATTGGGCAACTTTGCGCCACGTGTTTCATGAGGACAATTTTATATTTTACACAATTTCTGACATTAAATTATTTGACTATACTTAATTTATAAAGTTGAACAATTGAAACTCAAATTTGAGTAAATATTTTAGTCTTACCGCAATTATTTCGAAAAAGCGTTGAGCACAAACCAAAATGAATGTAAACAAAATAGCTGATTGAGGGTTGCACAGCACACTGCGCAAAGTTGCGCTCCAAAATTGCCGCGCAAAGTTTCCCTTTTTGTGCAAATGGCTTTCCATACAAATTTTGACATTTCATTTGCGAGGGTTTAAAATTGCACAGTTTGCCCAGTTTGCGAGAGTTTTGCGCTTTTAAATGAGTACCCTTAGTATAAAATAAATCTTAAAGGGATTTAATGAAAGCATGCGTCTATACAAATTAACAGACGGCATAAATTTAAATACATACATCTTTCGGTACGTATTGCAATATTTAATCAACATATTGCGTATTATTTCCGAAAGCAAAATATTTTTCAGATTGTCCAACTTCTATATGAAAACGAGGTTTAAAATGTCGATATCCTTATGTTGGAAATGTATGTGTATGTCCATATACGTATGTATATGTGTTTCACCGTTTTGCCAATCTTTTATGAATTTGTGAATATATATTTATGTATGTATGTATGTACATATATGATTAACCTGCGGAAAATAAAATAAACGAGTTATTCAAAAATGCACGTTTAATGTTAATGTAGTCTCACTAATAAATCTGTGAGGGGTATTTTTAAGAATATGAACGTTTTTTTATTAGACTGTTAGGAGGTTTCCGGAATGACATTAATAGGAGTATTCCCTTAATACTCATTTGGGAGAAATCAGGGATCTTGTTCTGTGTACCCTCTTTTATTGTTTCTTTGGGAAGCTTGTGGGAGATTATTCTGAGCGTACTCTGTATGCATTCCCTGATTGCTTGTTTAGGAGGTCAAGGGAATTACTCGCCCTCCTAGGACATCCCGTGTTAAAGGGAGCATACAAAATAACACGCTTATACACAAAAGAATAGGGAGCAATGGGGAGTAATCGTACACTCGTAAAAGGAGTTCTCATCGAGCAATCGAACGATGATCCCAAGTTCTACTGGGCATGTACACAACACATACACAAAAACGGCACTCACGTACACAACACATTCACAAAAACGGTACTAGACCAAGTAGAACTTGGAATCATCGTTCGATTGCTCGATGAGACCTCTCTGCTAGTTTACGATTACTCCCTATTGTTCCCTATGCTTCTGTATATAACAATGTTATTTTGTATGCTCCCTTTAACACGGAATGTCCTAGGAGGGCGAGTAATCCCTTTGACCTCCTAAACAAGCAATCAGGGAATGGATACAGAAATATGATACATGAAACCTCCCTAACGAGTAATACGTTAGCACCATCAGAATAATCTCCCACAAACCTTCCAAAGAAACAATGAAAGAGGACACACAGAATTAGATCACAAATTCCTCCCAAACGAGCATTAAAGGAATGCTCCTATTAAAATCATGCCGGAAACCTCCTAAAATAGCAATGAAAGGTTCTCCTATTTTTCAAAATTGCTCCTAATGGTGTAATGAGACTACATTGATATTAAACGTGCTTTTTAGATTAATTCATTTATATAATTTTCCGATCGTCAATCATATATGTACAATAATACATAATATAATATATTTTTATAATATACATATATATATGTTTATAATATACTTTAAAAAAATATCTCAAAGATAAGATTACAAACCGGCGAAACACTTTACATATATCATGTACATATGTATTTATTTATAATATACACTGAGTCAGATGAAAAGGCTTCAGTGTTTAGCTTTCAGGCATTCATCTTGGAATAAGTGCTACGAAGTAGTTCCTTCTCACTTCCAACAACAAAAATTATGTGTTGGTGTTGGTTGATTTTTCCGACAGGGTGGTAAGATGATTTATTTTGGAACGAAGGGATGACGGAAATTCGTTCCAAAATAAATCAACAAAAACTATGATACGTGCGCCCCAAGTATATGCGGAAAGTTTGCCCAGCTGGTTGGTACGTTTAACTTCAAATCCTGAAACCCCTGATATCGAATATATTCTCTGGGAGAGAAAGATTGGACAGTCTTGGCGTACTAAATTTGTATGCAATCTGTAAAGATTTTTGAGTTTAAAAATAATTTGCAATAAGTTTAAATAAATGTTTCAGTAGGTTCACAATTTACATTCGCCTTCCATTTAAAGTTATCTTCCATTTATAGTTAATCTATATTTTCTGAAGTATTCGTTGTCAATATTTTTTTGTCTTTTGTGATAACTAATTCCTAAAATAAAAAATGTCTGTTAATTGCTCCAATATCTCGAGAACCGAATACTCCTGAATTCCGCGCTTTTGGAGTTCACTCGTTTTGCTCCAAAGGGAGTAATAACGGAGTTTAAAATCAAAAAATTTCGCTTATTGCTGCGAAAACATGTCTCAGGGAGCAATACTTTATTGTTAGCTTTGGGAGAAATCTCTCTTTGCACCTAAGCGAGTAATAAACGAGGACAAAACCGAAAAACCTTGCTTATTGCTCTCAAATCATGCCTCATGGAGCATTTTTTGTCGCTCGCTTAGGAGAGCTCCCATTTGACTCCTAAGCGAACTATAAAGGAGGTCAAAACCGACAAATCTCTCTTATTGCTCCGAAATCAGACCAAAGGGGGTATTGTTTTATTCCTAACACAGGGAGATCTCTCTCCAAGTTCTAGTGGGGACTGCCTCGCTTCGATTTCGGAATGATTACACATTAGGCCGTATGCATAAAAACAAAGCAACTTAATTAACTTGCACTTAATTTTATTTGAACAAATCGAATTAATTTTATTTGAACAAATCGAAAAATAACTTGCTTAGGTTTTATGCATACGGCCTATTGAGCTTACTGCCAATATAGAAGTGTTACATACCGTCGGTGATACTGCAAAACGGTCTATGTATATTAGTACCCTCGACACTTATGTAATACGGTCTATTACTTGCAACGGAATGCATCTGTAAATCGTTCCACCCTAATAAACGAATGATAAAACTGTCTACATTTGGCTGATGTATATGAACGATTGCAAGCGATCAGATACAGATAACAGATCAATAGACATAGAACGTTTTGCAATATCACTACGGTGACCATTCATACCGATTTTGGCGGGCCAGTACCGATTTTGTGAAAATTGTCCCGCTGAATACTTTTTAAAATTCGGGACGTATAAGTGTCCTGATTTTCATATTTGTACCTATTAAGTCCCGATTTTCAGTGTTTTTAAATTTAATAAGAGTCTCCCTGTACTCTGTTCCAAAAAAGCCATTTTTCGCACCAACGTGGCAACACTTTCATTATAACATGAGTCAACACCATGAACCAAAAATACAAGATCACGTAAGAACGCGACGTTGTATTTGTAACTGGTTTTGAGAAAAAAGTTTGCGAAAGCGGGTTCGTCAGCTGAGCGTTTGTTTACATCACAAGCACCACTATTTTACACTTTTATTCAAGTAAAGAAGAGTTAATTCAACATGACAACACATTTTAAAGCATTNATTTTGGTTTTCGTTGTTTTCTTTGCTTTGTTTACTTTTCGCTCGTTTTCCAGTGAAACAAGATGGCGTAGAACCCGCTAAAAAAATCAACTTTTTTCACTCTCTTGTTCTTACGTGATCTTGTGTCTTTCACAACACAACACAAGGTGAATTTATACAAGGTGGTGTTAATGGCGAAGTCATTTTGACATTAAGAAGTACCGCGGCGAAAATCTAAATTCGCCATCAACACCACCTTGTATAAATTCGCGCTCTTCGAAGGCTAATTCACAGGGATTGAGGTGGGCATCTAATGGATCTGGTTCATATCTAAATTCGCCATCAACACCACCATGTATAAATTCGCCTTGAGACAACACTTCTGATTTTAGGTGTGTAACTAAAAGTCAGTACTAATTTGTATTGAAATCTGCAAATTTTTACTGGAAAAGCATATAATAACCTAAAAAATTTGCAAGAGAGCACTGAATCGAGAGCGTAATAACACGGGAGAACTGCAAATTCTTGCTAGTGAAATTTTTACTAGCAGAAATTAGCTAGCAGAAGAAGAACAAGAATAAATATCAAAAGCGCCATTTGTTGACTTGGTTAAGCGTAAACAAAAGTAAAATGAGGGGAAATCAAAATATGAATGAGGTACTGGACTGTGTAAGTGCTTGTGTATAGCAAAGAGTTTAAAACTGATTTATAACATTCAATAATGTGTCAAAATAGCGCAACAACTCTCCACCTGCAAACTTTTACTAGTTTTGAGTTCAATAATTTTTTCTGGTAGTTTTCTCTTCCCAATTTTATGCTCTTACTGCAACGACACACCTTTGTAAAAGGTCCTACACACGGATTGATTTATCGGCCAACCAGTTGGCCAACCGCTTGAAGTTGGTGGTAAATAAGCCGTGTGTAGGCAAGTTGGCAAACCTTCGTCCAGTTGTTCGTCAGGTTGGAGTAAAATCAAAAATTTTCGATTTTTGAGGCAGATTGGTCAACTTGTAGCTCTCTTTGTAGACAAGTTGGCAACCTAAAATGTGATTTAATTTTTTTAAAGGCCCATGTGTTTTTCGGTTCGTTTCTCTAGTGGAAAAGCGTATGATTTGTGAAAACGGGGGCCGTAGCGAAGAAACATACAAATAACGAAACTGGTAGGCCGATAAATCTATGCGTGTGTAGGGCCTTTAAAGGAACTAGTGTTGTCAAAAAGAGATTTCACATGTGAATTGAATTAAAATTTTGTGTTTGATTTTCTTATTTGGATCTTTAACTTTATAAAAACTTTGGAGCGTAAACTTTATAAAAAGGATGTCATTTACATCGCGTCTTTGTCGTGTTATCAACTCGTCGGCACACGTGCAGCGTTATGCAACTCGCGCGCTTGCCAGTGGAACACTGACATCATGGTCATTTCGCTGGAATCAACATTTGGGAAGAAATAGTATGACTATCAGAAAATTATTTAATTTTTTTTTGCAAAGCTACACTTATTTCCAGGTCTCCAATTTGTGCGTTACATTGCTTCAGAATCCACAGCATCAGCGACAGCCGATGATAAGGGACGTTTGCACACTATAATTAGGCAAACAGAGAAGCCGGTTGGCGAGGTTGATAAGCACGAATTTCAGGCGGAAACGCGAATGCTATTGGATATTGTAGCTCGTTCATTGTATTCTGAGAATGAAGTATTTGTTCGTGAATTAATTTCAAATGCTAGTGATGCACTGGAGAAGTTTCGCTACACTGTACATACAGCTGGAGAAAACGAGAAAAACTATGAAGCTACGGACCGTTCGCTGGAGATCCATATTGCTACTGATAAGCAGTTAATGCAATTGACGATACAGGTATAATTTGTGAATAAATAATAGAAAGTTTTGACAAAACTACATTTCCCAGGATACCGGTATAGGCATGACACGGGAAGAGCTTATCAACAATTTGGGTATGATAGCCCGAAGTGGGTCTAAAAAGTTTCTAGAGCAAGTGAAAGAAAAAGGTGGTGGTATGGAAAATTCATCGAATATTATTGGGCAATTCGGTGTTGGGTTCTATTCTGCTTTTATGGTTGCTGACAAAGTGGAAGTATTTACGCGCTCTTCGAAGGCTAATTCACAGGGTTTGAGGTGGGCATCTGATGGATCTGGTTCATATGAAATTCAAGAGGCGGATGGCGTGGCCCATGGTACCAAAATTGTTATTCACTTAAAACCTGAATGCAGGGAATATGCAGATGAGGACCGCATTAGAGGTTGGCTTTTTATTACTTATTATATTTAAAATAAATGTATATTAATTTTCCATTCAAGCGGTTATTAAAAAGTATAGTAATTTTGTTGGCTCACCAATATTCCTAAATGGCCAGCGCGCAAATGACATTCAGCCTTTATGGTTGATGGAACCGAAAGATGTTTCACAAGACCAGCATAATGATTTTTACCGTTTTATTGGTAATACATTTGACACACCTCGTTTCGTCCTGCATTATAAGGTAAAGTACAATAACAAAAGCCCATTAGAAAATAACTTAATTAACATTGAATTTCTCAAGACTGATGTGCCACTTAGCATACGCGCCTTGCTTTACTTCCCCGAAGGTAAACCTGGCTTATTTGATCTGACCCGTGATGCTAATGTCGGCATAGCGCTTTACACACGCAAAGTTTTAATCCAATCGAAAACCGACAACCTCGTACCCAAATGGCTTCGATTCATTAAAGGTTAATGAAATATAGTATAACTAATATAAAAAAACAATGTTCTTAGAAACTTGATTTACTGTACAAACATTTGATTGCAGGTGTCGTTGATTCAGAAGATATCCCGCTTAATTTAAGTAGGGAGCTGCTACAGAACAGCGCTTTAATCAAGTAAGTGACAAAACCCACAGTTCTCATGGTATTTTGTTTATGGAAATAATTTACATATGTATATGTATAATTCTCATAGAAAACTTTCAAACGTGCTGGCAAGTCGAGTATTACGCTTCCTACAGGAGCGTGCCAATAAGCAACCTGAAGAGTATGCCGCTTTTTACAAAGATTATGGCTTGTTCTTGAAAGAAGGCATAGTTACATCAAATGACCACAATGAAAAGGAAAATATTGCAAAACTTTTGCGATTTGAATCATCCAAGAATATGGATGGCAATCGTGTCTCTCTTTTAGACTATTTTACGAACGTTGGCGAACAAAAAGATATATACTATCTGGCTGCGCCAAATCGAATTCTAGCTGAATCTTCTCCTTACTATGAAAGCTTGAAGAAACGTGGTGTTGAAGTACTATTCTGTTACGAACCCTACGATGAACTAGTGCTTATGCAATTAGGAACATTCCAAGGCAAAAAATTAGTATCTGTTGAAAAAGAAATGCGTGAGGATGGCGCAGCCGAGAATATAACAGACTATGGAGAAGGCAGTCTGTTACGTACGCAGATAGACGAACTCTTGCCTTGGATAAAGGAGCGACTGAAAGGAAAAGTGGCAAATGTAAAAGTGACAACGCGCCTGGATTCGCATCCTTGTGTAATTACAGTCGAAGAAATGGCTGCTGCCCGACATTTCATAAGGACACAAAGTCATCAATTGCCCGAGGAAAACCGGTTTGCCCTATTGCAGCCACAACTGGAGATCAATCCCAAGTAATAAAATAAATCAATACTTTTTATTTTTAAACACTTTCTTATCATATTTATCCATAAAACCATCATATAAATTTTTGCAGGCACGAAATTATCAAGAAGCTGAATAAGCTACGAACAAGTGATCCGGACCTCGCGGAATTGGTTACGCAACAGCTTTTCGCGAATGCCATGGTAGGAGCTGGATTGGCTGAAGATCCACGAACCCTGCTAGTAACCATGAATGATTTATTAACAAAGGCATTGGAGAAACACTAGAAAATTTTGCTTTAAGGTGTGCAATTGAGGAACATTAGTCATAGTTTTTATTTGATACAAATTTAGTTGTTTTCGGTATGAAGAGTATAGAAGAAAGCAAAAAAAAAAATACATTTAAAATAATCAGCCCTATCGCCAATTTCATGGGAATAAATTGTTCCCATAATTTAACATGCAAAACAAACACAAATTGAGAAAAATTGTTTTTGTTTTGCTATATAATTTTTAGGAATATTTGTTCACGTGAAATTCGCGATAGGGCATAATAAAATTGAAATAGTTGAAATGAGAATAAACCAACTTTTAAATTTGCGTAGGATTTGTTTACAGAGCTGTTTTCAAATACCAATACATATATCTCGTCTTTTTAATCGACTTAAAAGGAGGAGGTTACCANGAGAATAAACCAACTTTTAAATTTGCATAGGATTTGTTTACAGAGCTGTTTTCAAATAACAATACATATATCTCGTCTTTTTAATCGACTTAAAAGGAGGAGGTTACCAATTCGTCGGAATATTTTTTTTTATGGTTTCAAATCTTTTTCTGCTATTTTTAACCGACTTGACAAAAAAGGTTATCAGTTAAACCCGACTTCGTTCCGCCGCACAGGCAAACGTTAGTGTTCTAGGGTTAAAAAGCTCGGAATAATCAGTGCAAGGCGCCATCTTACGTTTAACTTACTCGACGTGCAACTCTGCCTCACGTGAACTGTCAAAATTAAGAATGAAAGCGTAGACTACATATCGCCTTCTCGCTTTACTTGCGAGAGAGAAACAATGTCGGTAATGCCTCTCACGTGTTTAACCGCTTTGCGCGCTCTTTATTATCATTTCCATGTGAATATATACTCAATTCCCCTCTTCAATGCAAATCATACCAATTAGGATTTAAGTTTTGATACCTGAAAACAACATAAATTCAAGATAATTTCTTGATTCTGAAATGCCTGCTCATCTTTAAAAGCAGAAATTTTAATATTAGGATTGCTAGTATTCACGTCTTACTGATATTCGTTCAGAAATATAAATTTCAATGGTCACGCGCAGTTAGAAGGGAAAATTTTAGTTCACATACAAACATACACACAAACCAATGAATTCCGTTCGATGCGCGTGTGACGTTTCTCTTGCTCATGCACCCTTACCCCAACCCAGTGCTGATTCAACTTGTGCTGGTCATATGACCATTATTTTAATCATGCGCATGCAACAACTATATTTACTACGAAAGAGCTATAAGATGCGTGCGAAGAGTGCGGCCATATGATTGTTCTATTTGTTGAGTGTGATAGCTGGTGTATATAGCGAATGACAAAGCTATGCAGCAAATTGAGATACGGCGGAGTTTGACGTTCAGTGCAGGAATTGAAATCACTCACAGTGTTGCCAGCGACCGAACCGACCAGTTCTTGTTTGAACTCCTACGCTCTAGCAGCAAATTGCCAGTCAAGACCTAAGAAAGGCCTAAGCTAACCGCAAGTTAGTCAAGTGAGTGTTGTAAAAGTGCAATTTGTGAGGAAAGTTAGGAAAAAAATAAACTTTACGGTCATCGATGTGTGTTGAAGTCATAGAAAAAAGTGAATTGCTGAATTCGATTAGTACCATTTGCTGAAAAGTACTTTGCTGTGAGCAGACGATAGTCGATTCACTTTCATCATGGGCAGGGGAAATTAGAAAGAATACGCAAGAAAGGAGAACAAAATTGCCACGACATTTATTGAAACGTGCAAAAGAAAGTGGCAAAAAGGAGCACCGTTGCGTTGAGACCCATATGTTCAAAGAGTAGTGACTCGTTGAGATTGTATCATTTCATTCGGTACCAACAAATTTTTTGTTGGGCGTTCCGGTAAATTAACTTGTTAATTTGGAATTTTTTGTGATAGTTTTACGGAATCAGATTTCTTCGAAGTTTTTTGTCATTCTGAACTTTTAATTTTCATAAAGTGTGCAGCATTATAATTGCGTGTATTACGAGTACAAATTTGATGTGATACATCATTGCACAAAGAAAAGCAACAACAGCAAATAGAAAATACGAAAAATACTACTCTACACCCGAATACGCCAACGACAGAAGGTGACGACAACGTTGCCGACGTTAATGACGAGACAAAATCAAAAACGAGACGTAACGAAGCGAAACAATTGAAGAGAGAACGGCAAACAGTAGTAGACAAGCAGCAGTCACAGTGAAAAGCTCTGAAATTTGAAAGGTGCTATCAAGTAAAATCGCAAAATAAATTACAAATGTCCTATTTGATTACATTAGATATTTAAAAAGAAGACACAATATTCTTTAAGAAGAGAATTAACGTANAGTGAAAAGCTCTGAAATTTGAAAGGTGCTATCAAGTAAAATCGCAAAATAAATTACAAATGTCCTATTTGATTACAATAGATATTTAAAAAGAAGACACAATATTCTTTAAGAAGAGAATTAACGTACGATTTCGCAAAAAATAGCTCGGTAAAGTTTCCCTTCAACACACATACAAAAACCGATCCCAGTTGAATATAAAAAAATAGAAATATTGTAAGAGACGAGTGTACATCTTAAGCAGCAAGCCCTAACGAAAAAATCAAATTAATTTTCTTTTTCGTAGAAAAATTTATAAAACACCCCGCACATACACAATAAAACAGAATCATGTCTGATGCATCGAGCGATAACCCAATCTACGGACCCTTCTTCGGAGTCATGGGAGCAGCCTCAGCCATCATCTTCAGTGGTAAGTGACTTGGTTAAAACTAGAAATTTTGTACGAAAACTGTAAATTGCGACGAAACAGTGATTCGCATTCGGGAAGACAAGTGAATTAGCTGAAAAAATAGTCAAGACGCAAATAGACGGCATATTTGATAGTCACTCCTTAAAGTGGGCATTCAGTCAGTGGGCCGATAATGCATTCGGTCCACGTTTTTCATTTTTGGGTGGGTGGCAGTGGCCGTGAGATCTTATAAAGGGAATATCCAAACAGTAGTATACATAGGAAAAATGCAATATGCTAACAAACAAAAAACGGTTTCGGGGCCAAAGGGAACTAGAGTAAACAATACCTGTATCTAAATTTTGCACGAAAAGAATTTTTCCTATTATAATCGAGCAACTAGAAAAAAATCTATAATTTTGGCAGATGAATGAAGAAAGGCAAAAGAAAAAAGACCATGTGAAATGTGTTTGGCACGTATGTATGTACATATATAGGTATATATGAACATATATAAATATATGTAGATACATATCTAGTCATCTAATGGCAGGGCCGTCGGGTGGAAGGATGTAAAATTGGCACATACAGTCTTAAGTGCATATGTGTGATAAAAGTAGTGATGAAAGTAGAAAAAACGCTATAAATGTAGGACGAAAGGATAGGTTGCTTGTTGGTGGTTTTCGTTGACTTTGTTGATGGAAATTGATAAATGAATTTTCGAATCTCATTCTTATTGAAATACACAAAAAGGAGCATAAAATAGTTTTGTTCTGTAGCATGAGATTAAATTTTTAGTATCTTGTTAGAGTCAGGTATTTACTTGTACGTACGGTTCTAGTCATGCGTTTGTAAATTTTTGGAAAACTTGGACCTACTTCGAAAAATAGTTATAAATAAAAAAGAAAAAAAGTACTTGTAAACTTTAGTCGTGCGCATTCTATCCGTTATTGTTGAGCAGAGAAAAGAGCTTTTTAAATGGTTATCAGACCCCGCTCTGTTGTAAGCTAAAATGAGAAAGGCAATTTGTTTGAGCTCTTCATGTAAACTGCAAGCAAGAGAGTAAGAAGAGCAAAAGAGCAATCTTTTTCGGGATATAATGACTCAACACGAAAAGCACCAAGTGAAGCTCAAATAACCAAGATATTAAATGTTATATGGAAAACCAGTTGGAAATGTGCTTGTAGGTGTTTTCAGTGCGATGGGGTGGGTGGCGGTAATTTTAAGGTTAAGCCTGAATGGCATACGACAAAGTAGTATACAAACAAACACGTACAATTTAATTTTATTGTAAAAAGTCATGAGACTGCCTCATGCTTTTTTGCCTTGGTTGACGACGCCATTGCGTACGATTCCTTGAATATAAGGTTTTTCTTAATGAATAAACAAATATTGGTTAATTTTAAATTCAGATGTTAACACTAAAGCGGTCACATGCTCTTATTTGAAATCACATGGTCAATTAACAATTTGTTTGATAAGACAGCAAAGAATATTTATACATAAGTTAACTTGCCAGAGTAAATTGCTTGAAAGGTGGCAGAGAAATCTTTTAATGAATTGAATTCGTTTAGTATTTAAAACCCCATATTAAACTACTACATATATGTGCCTTATGTGCTTTACATCACCTTTAATAAAACTAAATTTAAAGGATTTACCTTAATGAACCACTTCAGTCACGGGGCTTCCAGATATTACGCAATCAGAATAACCTGTTATCATTTCCTCTCAATTAGTTTAGCTTGCGAAGAAAATGCACAAATATAACATGCCAGTAAAATATTCTAACCGAGTTAGCTGATAACGATATTTGATAAAGGCACTGTTCTTGACAGAATGGTTTACTTTGCTCTCATAAAATTTTCATCTGTTTTCTTTGTTAGTTAAAAAAGCGAATTCGCTTAATAGGTCATTGTTGAAATTAGAGATTTAGATATATTTTTTATACATACAATGTTTAGAAAGTTCAGTACATGTTAATTTAAAAACAAAACGAACGTATCAACTCATAACTTCCATATTATAATTTTACTAAAGCATTTTAAATAATTAAAAAAGGTTATCGACATAGAGTTATAATACCAGCATCAAATCTCGCAAACCTATAGTATTTTTTTTCTGTATAGTAGGTTATCCAGTTGCCCAAACGAGTCACATGAGTAACTGACAGCGTAGTTTACAATTGTCTTCCACACACTCGTTTATCCGATACTTCCTTTTATGTTATTTCGCCTACTGTTATTCATTCACGCTTCGTCTTGCGGATTCTCAGCAATTGAGTCATTCACATACACATACTAAGAAAAAGAATAACCAATAAATAGAATTTAAAGCATAACAATCATCTGAGGGTTTCTTCAGATTGCATGAACATCTTGTTTTATGAAACTTTTTATTTATTGAAACTAAATTATATAGTTACAGTGTAGTTTGAAAATACGTGTATTACATTGATCATAAAGCTGTGAAGTACTAGTGCAAATCAAAGATTATTCTTGCCGCTAGAACATATGGGAAATAAAAAACGTATCTCTTATTTCAGTGGCTATGATGCTTTACTGCTTATAAGACAGACTGTTTAGTTATGCTATGTAAAGTGTTACGGTTACTTTGTGATGCCTGATTAAAATTTTGTTCATTTGTATGAAGAAAATAAAATCGACTTATCCAGTTTCTATAAATATAATGCCCTGCTTTGTGGCATGCCATTGAACAGTAAATTTTGCTTCTCATAACTTTGAAAGGCTTCGTTTCATTGAACTTTTCGCTTGTGTCTACAGCAAATATACTTGTATGTGCTCCATATTCCTCGTAATGAACTTCTGTTGCCGTGTTATATATGTGCATGTAAACTACCGGTTTTGCTTTTTGGTCCGCTATAGATTCTCTTATGAAATTTGTTATCGCTGAAAGCACAGACGCCCTTTTTCAAACAAGATTTGTAGATAATTTGCATTTCATTTTTCAGATGTTTTTCTGAATGTATTTATTATTTCGACCAATGCATTTATATGGGTTTGAATCTGGTACTTAATGAGACCATTACTACTTCGTCACGTCACGTGATATTACAAGATTAATAAAGACCATTTTTCTATAAAAAAAACCGCAACGCCCACGAACATGTTTTGGTTATATATTGCACGAGCGTGTCTAGACGTTTACGCGTTATCTGCTCATTTTTGTATTGTACTTCAAATTCGGCAGCTATTCGTGTGCTCATCTTCGTTATTTTTATATTAGAGCATGTAGCCGCTCAATGCTGTGAAGAGTGTGAACCTAAAAACTGCCTACCCTCAGACTTTGTGTTTGATGAAAGGAAAGAACAATTATACGAATTGTAGCACATGTAGAGCAGCATAACAATGACCTCCATCGCTCACAGATTTGGACAAGTTCTCTCTCAGATGCACAATTGCATCCGTATACAGTGTGTTCGAGAAAACGTCATCGATTCACATTTAGTCAACAATATGTATGTACATATATATGCAAAGTATATTTCGTTCAAAAGAAAATGTGAAATGTACTCAACAAAACCCCGACGATTCATTAATAGTTTTTACGCAGCATTATTTTATTTAGTGCTGGGCATAAATGATTTCTGTACATGTAGTATATGCCCCTTTAATTCATTTATCATGTGAATGCCAATGAGAATGCGTGTTTTCTGATTTCAATGCCAGCGTGCCTTAAAAATATTTGATTCGCATTTAAAATCAGCAAATCGATTTATTTTTATTCCAGTTGATTTGTAACTGCATGTACATATGTATGTACATACATGTACTGCATGATTCACTTTACTCAGCTTCCACAGATTTGCATGGCTTAGCTCAACTTCAAATATCCATCTTAATATTGGCATCCAATTGTAGCCGCATTTAAGCAAATTTATGTAATCAAAATGGCACATAAACACATGTATTTAAACCTTGAATGAAGAAAGCATCAGCTACCACCTGCTTTTAACTTGTTTAAAAGTTTCAGGCATGGATTTAATTACGTCGGGAATTTAAAAAAATTGTATTTCACTCCTGCTTTCCTTCGGCTTAAAACGCTATCAATTTGCATTTTTAGTGTTTTGCTATTCCTATGTTGATAAGGTTAGCTCTCTTGCTTTTTTTTGCATTTTAAATTACATTTATTTTGTTCGAGTGTTGTTTTTGCGATGCTCTTTCAGTTCTTTCCTTATTGCTTTGTTTTTATGTCTGCTGCTTTTGACTATTTACATACATACATATATCCCAATATAGGATCTTCAATGCGTTCGTTTGTACAAAAAAGAATGGCATACAAAAAATAAGAAAAATGTGCTTCATTGTTTTATTGGCAACGATTGGCGTCTATGTTGTAGGCTAGTCGGTTTCAAATACACACGCTGTTTCTTTATTATACATAGTATGATTTGTGATACATCAAAACGCCAGTATTGGCCTATATATATTTCCACACTATCAATCTCATTTTTATTAATTCACTGCGGTGCTTTAATAAAATAAGATATCAAAATAAAAATTACAGATTTAACAATATCGGAAAACCCGAAAAAGTAGAAATTAATGAAAAACAATCGGTTACACTTAAGTTCAATAGCTCAAACAAGTTTTACCTTAAATATGAAAATAACAAAAAAGTAATATACTTAATTAAAATGAAATTGTCAAATCCTTATGAAGCTACTCCAAAAACCTGACCTTCTGCCGGCCAATTGGGTTGCCCTTCTCCACCGGATAATGTTTATATCTTGATACATTCGTATGTCAATATAAATTTCCGATGGAGACCGCTCATTGCTCTTCAAGAGCCATATGAATCAGAGCTTATATCTTGCCATCAATTGCCGGCAATTTGGTAGTTTGACAGCTACCAAACTTCGTGGCGGCAACATTAATGATATGGATTTAGCAGTGGTAGATGAACAATGCAAAAACTAGTGACTTGCTGCTACAAGTAAAGTGCTGTCAGGCAAGGCAATGCAGCATTTCGAAAAGGCTGCCAAATTGAGAAATTTTTGTTTATTTCCGAAAAGTAAATTGCAGATTTTACACAGCGAATGAATTTCTTATAATTTTTCTCGATATTTAAATGCAATCATGGGTCGCCTTTTCTGTTGTTTGTTGAGAAAGTAAAATTTCTCTTTCTCAATATAACAGCGAATTGCGTGGAAAAGTTGCAAATATTGCCGCGTCTGACAGCGCTTGTACGAGAGTTGAGAAATAAGCACACAATTGCGCTTATGAAGACTCGAGCCATAATTCAATTAACTTGATTATTGTTGGCTGTCTTTGCTGAGCTGTACTTCTACTCAGAATTAGACTCTATATTTGAATTGTTTCGATATTCTCCGTTCTGTTACGTGATTGTGTACGATGATCAATTCAACTAATTCTAGATGTGGCATTTTCGCTACACATTTGTATTTATTAAATATAAGAGGCTGCCGTCTAGCTGGTCTGGTTGCATTTATTTTCTTTGCACTCGCTCAAACTGGTAAACAAATATATTCCAAAATTATTTATTAAATTTTCATAAAGTGCGCTATAAAACTTTCAGTTTCATGTTTTGTATGCCAAGGCAGCTTTACGCTTGAACAATCGATTTTTGCTTTTAATCTCCCCTTCAATTGCTTATAATAAGCTTCGGTGCTTTTCCGCCAGCTTTTTGACAGCTAGAAAAAATTATGCACGTAATTGCTATTATAATATTGTGGCTTGTGTTATTAATTAGCACGAAATCACATGACTGCCGCTACAAACCTATGTATGTATGTACCTATGTACATGTATCTCATATCTATCCAACTGTCATCGCTATTACTCCCAACTTCACCCTGCTTGTGGCGTACTATGTACAGTACTCCTTAATAATGACGATCGTTCAGCTTTTAAGTGATAGCATGAAAGAGCGGCGATAGATATTTTCGTGGAAAATAAGCAAATAAATTGGCATTTCTGACAGTTGTCAATATGTTTTTGCTAGAAGTCGAGTTCCCCTCGGGGGTGTCCTTCAAGCATCGCTAAATTTTTAGTATCGATATTAGCAGTTTGCTGAATTCATATATACATATACGTGTATGTGTGCATGTGTATCTTTGTAAATAATATTCCAACTCCATTTTGCGCGCATTTCTGTTCGGATGCCTGTTATGTTTCAAGCTTGAACTTTTTACTGAAGCTCGCTCAACACTTGGCTCGTTGCAACCTTAATTAATTTGTCGTGTTTTTTTACATTTTTGCTTTTGCCTATAACCGGTTATTTCTCGTTTTATATAAGTTCGAATTCACATACAAATGTATGTACATATGTACATATATACGATAAATGCGACCGCGAATTCTTAATTCTTATTTTTGAACTCATTAGTATGCACGTTAAGCAACAGAGTATTGCAGAAAAATTACCCTAACGAATTCGTTTTCAACCGTTGCACGAGTCTGTTTTAACATAGCATTAATTTTTTCTGTCTTATGTAATTTTCTAGAAGCTTAATCTTATCAAAATCATGACGATCTTATCAACTGTTAGGACTTTTATATCGTCTTCTTTTGTATTCTACTCGCTTTCTGTTCATTCAAGTGCTCATTATCAAAACAGCTAAACAATTTGAAATTCAATTTCTTATTCTTCAACGGCTTTTCGCCGTTTTTAGATTCATTTCTGGCTATCGCTTTGTTGAAATTGAGTCAATCTTATCTGCATTCCTTATTTCTTTTGTACGTGCATATGTATGCATGAAGTAATTGCATTTACCTTTTGCGTCAAGTTTATTTTACACTTTTTTCTTTATCGTTCTGTTTTTTAGGTATCTGTTATTGATTGCACAAACCTTTGATTATAATTTTATACTTGTCATGTGACCATTATGCCCTATGAAATATGTGTAAAGTAATAGGAGAAAGGCAACCATGGCATGGCGTTAAAACACCCAACATTTTTATTCAAAAACCTAAAAACTATTCCAAATGTTTGTCAGAGTTACATATAAGCGAGCCCAGTGCCATATTTTATTTTAAAGCCGTTTAATTCCTTCTCGTATAATAAATTTACATACTTAGGGTCGGTTGCTCAATTTCTGGTTAACACTAATCTCCGGTTAAACATAGTAAACTTATTAAATAATTTGAATGCCGCTTTTTAAAAACGCGGCAACCCTCTTAAAACATTTTAAATGACCAAACTAAAGATTTCCTAACACTCTTTCGCGTGACACCCATATTTTCATATTTCAATTAGTTTGCGTGTAAGTTAATTAAATTAGACTCTTTGAAAAGGTGGCAACCCTCTTCAAAAGNACCGCTTTTTAAAAACGCGGCAACCCTCTTAAAACATTTTAAATGACCAAACTAAGTTAATTAAATTAGACTCTTTGAAAAGGTGGCAACCCTCTTCAAAAGTAGTTTAAAGCTAACACCTACTTTAATAACTTTTGTCTGACACTGTGATACATATTTTAATTAACTGCTGAATTAAGTTGAATAGATTTTTTTTTCTTAATATGGTTCGGAAATAAAGCCTTGTCAAACCTATTTCGATTGATACCAATATTTTAGTAATTCATGCAGCTTTCTAAACACCTCAAAAATATTGTCACGAACCAAAAATACAAGATCACACAAAAACATTCAAATTGGATTTAATTTTAAAAAAAGGTGCAACCCTCCTACAGTCAAGTTATGCAACAAAGCTTTTCAAAACCATTTCGATTGATACCCATTTTGTAATAATTGGTTTAATTTTTTAAATAATTTGTTCTTAATTTTTTTGAAAAGGCGGCAAACTCTTTTCGAAAAAGATAAACCCGTTGCACATCTACAGCCCGAGTCCTCTAAGGCAGTGCTCGTCAAACTTTTGAGTGTGACGGACCGGCTGCAGTTTTTCTATTACGTCGGGGACCGGTACCTTTTTTTATTGATTATTTTTCGTTTACGATCATCTCACATATGTATTAAAATTTGTTTAAATGAATTTCTTTATTAGCCGGGTGTCTATATATGACCTATTACCATTTAATGATAGCAGATATTAGCGATTTTTTATGAATGTTTAACAAATTTAAGTTGTTTTTATTATACAAGTTGTATATAGCCTCATTAAACAGTAATATAAAACATCAAAAAATCGTTGTCCATTTCGCGACGCCCTTTGCGGACCGGCGACTTATGGCTTACGCACCGGCACCGGTCCGCGGACCACCACTTTGGCGAGCACTGCTCTAAGGATACCTCACTTTTGAAAATCGAACAAACGGTACGGATCTGATGGTATTGATTATTAAATAATTTGAACTTAATTATTCAGCAGGTGGCAATTCTTTTCGAAAAAATAAAACCAGTTTGCACAACTAAAGACCAAGCGCTTAAATTTGACATCCCGTTTTGAAAATCGAGCTAACGGTGAAGATATTTTGTCCTGGACAATAAATCCCTTTGCGTATTATAATTATAGATAGATGTTTTAACTTCCTTGAATAGGATAAGATTTTATTTTTTTGAAGTTGTATTGCTTTGTATGAGTGAATATTGTGTGAAATCAGTGTGAAGAAGTATTTTTAAGAATTTCGTCGCTGCGCAGTCACTCATAAAATCATTTGTACAATTACCAATGGACACTTTAAAGGTATGCAAAATTGAAAACAATTTCTACACTTGAAGTAAATTAGATTTTTTTGTATTATATAATAATAACTTAACCTGAAAACAGCTTCCATAAGTTGGCGTCTACCATAGCGAAATACTGATTATTCGCTTATTGGAGCTATTACTTGCTTCTCGATTTATTACTGTCTCTGCGTTGTAAGAGTCGCCTAACAATCTGTCTAATAATTGCATATACATACATATATTATACTTGTAATATGTAGATTTTCTTCACCTTCTTGTTTTAAACTTTTTCCAGCTCTGGGAGCGGCCTATGGTACCGCCAAATCAGGAACAGGTATTGCTGCCATGTCAGTGATGCGACCTGAATTGATCATGAAATCCATCATTCCCGTTGTCATGGCTGGTATTATTGCCATTTACGGTTTGGTCGTAGCCGTCCTTATTGCTGGTGCTTTGGGGGAGCCCTCAGAGTACTCACTGTACAAGTAAGTTATTGTGTGATCTAGCTTGGGTCTACTACATTTCACATATTCAATATGCTCATTCTGGCTTTTTTTTTAATTTACAGGGGCTTCATCCATTTGGGTGCCGGTTTGTCGGTAGGTTTCTCTGGTTTAGCGGCAGGTTTTGCGATCGGTATAGTTGGTGATGCTGGTGTAAGAGGTACAGCACAGCAACCGCGTCTCTTCGTCGGTATGATTTTGATTCTCATTTTCGCTGAAGTATTGGGTCTGTACGGTCTTATTGTTGCCATTTACTTGTACACAAAATAAATTAATACAAAAATTACAACCAAAACCAATCCAACATCCACATCAAATAAAACAACAAAATGCAAAAAATCAACCAACCAACCAAACAATCATTAAAATGCAAGAAACAAAACTCATCATAGAAATTTGTAATTGTATGAACGCAGCAACAAACAAGTAAAGGAAAACGAGAAGGACCACCATCAGAAATAATAGTAAAGGCAGCTGCCAAACAAATATGAATGCAATAATAGCAGCAGATCTCCCAGAGCCACAAGTATTGGTTGCAAAAGAGCCAAAGAAATTTAAATAATACACGTGGCTGGTTTAGTATTGAAATATTCATAACTTCATCGAATAAAGGATGAAGCGAATAGTTGCAGAAGTTATATACAATTTACATAATGTGCAACATTCAACATAATTCAGCAGGACATGCGTCGGTCGAACACAAAAACTGTTGCGTCTATATGTTTGTCTATACAATACCCGACTTTATTCTATTTATGTTACGTTACTTTTTGATTTTTATTTATTTTCGGGGAACTAATACCATTATCCATAACAGCAAAAATTCAACAATTTATATTTGTATATACATAAAGTAACCAAGTGTTAAACTAAAATGAAAGATTGGGTCTATTTTTTTCGCCGCGAAGAAATGGAAAACATAGTAACTACGTAAATGTTATAAATATTTCAACACTTAAATCGTTAGCAATAACAACGAGACTAGTTTACGTCAAAGCGTTATAGATCGCTGCCAATTTTTTCTAAGTTGCTGTGCTTTTTTAAGTGTTTTCTACTCTGAAAAATTATTTGTCGCGTTTTTGCGTTTATATTTGCAACGAGTTTCTGTTTTGTTTATGTTTTTTTCTGAAATTTCCTTTTGTTTTCTTTGTAATTATAACTATAAACTATTATAACTATAAATATTTTCAACAACGTTTATTGTTGTTGTTTAATGAAAAACTTGCGTATTTAAAGTAGAAAAGAAAACCACTTCAACCAAAAGCCGTAAAGTTTAAATGAAAAATGGGAAATGAATCAACCAACAAACAAACTTGTTAAATAAAATGTACATGTAAATTTAAATTTAAAATTTAAAGTAATTAAATTTAAATAAAGCAAGCAAAGAAACAGTATAAACTTAAAAAATATTAAATATTTAGTGAGAAACCACCAACAAAGCAACTACAAAGACAACTCATTCAATGTAATAAAAACAACCACCAGCAACAAAGTGATGAGAGCACGAATTAAATAATTGAAGGCGAACGGGATATGGATACTGGAGTCAGTAGAGTTTGATCATGACAGAAAAGCGCACCGAGCCCCAATTTTTGATTATTTCATTGTTGAACGCAAGCTATGTTTTCGAATTTCGAAGATTTCTCTTTGACCAACTTCCTAACTCGGCGCTTGCGCATATCGCATGTGAACACACACACACACACATACATCGAGGAGACGTTTATCAAAATCTATGCGCACACAAGATGCGTAAACACTACTTCAAGCCTACTTTTAGGCGATATAATATTTCTTGTCATAGCTCTCTGCGCTCGACATATCGGCTTTGCGGCTCGCTTTGAAAGCTTCTTGTTGCATTGATTGAAGGAAAGATCACATGTTGAGAACGAACAACGGCTCGTCAAAATTGCAGCAATTAAGAACTATAAAAATAAACAAAAGACGAACTTTTACAACTAAAAGAATACATCTCGGAAAGGGAGCACACACAAAGGAATGAATGAATCAACATCGATATGCCCAAAACCATCTAAACTCATGCCAACACATAAACACACACACACTGTAACTAAGTCCCTATATATGTTTTTATTTTTAATTATTGTTCAATTTGTAAGAACTATTATTAATAATAATATACTTCTTTTTTTTTTGTGATAAGCTTAAAAGGAAGTTGATTATGAAACATTTGACATTTTGAAGCGAAAACAAAACTAAACTAATGGTATTTATAAATGTGTAATTATATCTATAAATACTTAATATACATACACACATAATATAAAGATATATATATATATATATATATATATAATTAATAATAATTATACATACTATACATGTTTAAACGAAATGGAGGCGCAAAAGCGTAGCGTTTGAATAAAACACTAAATTCAGACAATTGAAGTTGGTACGATAAAAAACAAAAACGAGGTATATGTGCGCATTGAAAACAAATAAAAACATAAAAGCATATACACCTCTAAAACACTTCGTACACATCACGACGACGCCGATTGCACAAAGAAAGAAATGATGTATTTCATTCAAAAAGAAGAAAAATAATACTTTGTGCAATTCACTTTACAATGTCATCCACATATTTCCTCTGTTATGTATAGAAATGCAAATAATTATATATATATAAAATTTAAAAAGTAAATATTATGTAAAATATGATTATCACATATAAAACTAACAACAACCATATGTCGTATTTAGTGAAATTTCGCTGAAGAAGATAAAATGTTAAGTAAGCAGTAGTCGAAGTCGAAAAGTAGACGCTAGAGCGTTGAAAGTCGAAGATGTAGAAAAAATTAATTGAGGAAGTAACAAAAACATAAACAAATTACAAAAAATGTACCAAAAAAAGAGCAAAATCCCCAACGCAAAAATTAGAAATTTCGTTTACAGTACTAAACAATTTGATTCCTAAATAATAAATGCGAGTTATTATGTCAAAATCGACAAAGCACACAGCAGTGGTAGCTGCGCATCTAACATAAACACTCGCCAACCACAACATTGCCAGTGGCATTCCCCTTGCATACCGATGCGTTTGTGATGCTGAGAGCGCGGAGGTGTGCAACCTGTGAATGATCCATTGCCTGTACAGCGGTGGTGGATATGTAAAGCGCATGCGCATGCAATGCTTGATCTATGCCAGACACAACTAAGATTGGCAAGCGTGTGCAACTGATGTGTAGCTGCGTGATATTTGGCATAGGAGCTTATTCGGCTGGCGGCTACTGCAGCACTGAAGGACTTCTCAAACAACAACAAGAATTAGCGTACTAATATTTGTATAAACAATAACAAGTTGCATTTGTATTGTAACAACAAAACATCTGTTGCACAAACTACATGCATACACGCTTACGCATACAAGTATTCGTCTAGAAATATTGTCATTAAATTTTGTTATTAGTTATTAGTTTAAGTTATTATTGTTGGCGCGTTTTTCTTTTTGGCTTGTTGTGTTGCTTTGTTGGAGATCTGCGAATTAGAAGACTAGAAAACAATGGCAGTCGCAGCAGAGCTAGAAAAGAAGTTGAAGCAGTAGCGGTAGTAGCAGAACGGCGATTTTTTTTTATTATGTTAGAGGGAAAATAACTATTTGTATTGTACTTGTATAACGATCGATAAACATAAACAAATCAACCAACAAACAAACAACTTGAGAGAATGAATAAAGTGTAATTTCTAATTTCCAACAAAAAAATGAGTTTTCACTGTAGGCAGCCACAATGATATAGATTTCCCAGGAACGTCAGGGGGCACCTATTCATATACAAGGACGCGGTCCAGACATGCATACATAGACCAACCACTGGACCCGACGACGTACTGACGATCATGGCGACTGGGAATGGAATTGATGACCTGTGTTCGAAAGTAAACGGGTATCTCTCCGAACTTTTTCGCTTCTTCACTGCAAAGTGTCTAGCCCTCTCCCCTACGAAATCCTCCGCGACCCTGTTCACAACCTGGACGAAGGAGGTCAGGCTACCGCTGGGGATTCACGTCGATGACACACCAATTCCGACGGTGAATAACCCCAAAATACTCGGAGTAACATTCGACAGCCTGCTCTCCTTCTCTGCGC